AAGCGATTGTCGAGAAAAGTCGTCAATCGCATATCGGTCATATCAATTTAAGCGACTCATACGACACCCTTCCCCCCCTCCCCCTCCCCCATAACACCACTTCTATCAATGCGATTGTCGATCAATCATATATCGGTCGTCTCACACGACACTCCCATAACCACCACTTCTACCAATGCGATTGTCGAGAAAAAGTCATCAACCACATATCGGTCGTCTCATACGACACCCCCCCTCCCATAACACCACTTCTATCAATGCGATTGTCGAGAAAAAGTCATCAATCACACGTCGGTCGTCTCATACGACACCCTCCCCCCTCCCCCAATAACCACGCACCACTTTTACCGACTTGAAACCGTTATGAAGACGTTATGAAGATTGCTTTGGATCTTGGTATCAGGGAATAACTTTAATAATGGCAATTAATATTCCGAGAGGAAATTGCAGGGATTATGTTAAGCGCAATATACACAAAATATATACAAGTAATTCGATTAAAATAGTAAATGAGATTAATACCGCACTCACACACCTATTATGGAATAACGACTTAACTATAGAATAAAAGTCTTGATGAAGACTCTACACATTATTGAAAGATCGCTTATGTTGAATTGCATGAATTGGGTAGTGTGAATTTATCCGGGTTGGGAAATTTGTTTATGACAATTGTGGCTGGTTTTTGAACAATGCTGGTATCACCTCTACATTCCGTGTAACGGAATCTCACTGTCACGTTTCTAACTTCTTTCTCAAGCGATTACCTACACGAAGCTCATTCTGTGCTTAAGCATGCTCTGCTGTGAAATGGAATCTAGAGGTAAAGACTGATGGAAAAAGTGATTAATAATTAGATTTACCTGGCCGACTCCAATCTCAATTAGGCATTCGGTGGTGTCAACTTGAAAGTTACGCTGAGCGAAGATTCGGTATGATGGCTGAAATCTTCTTAGTGCTGAGCATGTACGTAATGTATGATAAGAAAGTTTGATATTAATACATTTTTAATATAGATTCAATTGAAGTATGATTCACCACTTTCTGACTGGAATGCGTCGTGGATCTTGCATATGGTAGGCTATGATAAGAGGGGTACAATTTCGAATCCCCGCCAGTATTTCCGTCGGGTTACTGCCTGCTCTTACGTTCTTGTAATTCCAACCCTAACTTTTTACGGGCAATAATGCATTTCCCAGTTATTGAAAGTGAGATAAAAAGAAGTTGTTTATCTACCTTGCAAGTAAGGGAACAAAAAACAGAACATTAGCATGTAAGTGCTTTTACGGCCTTTATATAAATAATAAGGCCTAGTATGTCTCACGATCGATCTGTACGATAATAACAGGGCTTATATTCATAGAAGTAATATATGTTGCTTTATTATTATTATTTTTTCGTCTCCTCTTATAGGGAATATGATCCAATGGCCAAGAATTCTGCGCCGCGTCGACTCCGTCCAAAGATTGAGCTTGATTTATGTATTATCATACCGACTAAATGCGTCACCTTACCGAAGATCAACGATTGTCCATTTTGTCGGGGATGAATAAGCGACAAAACTTGCAAGAGCAGTACTAAAATCCTATGGCGGAAAGCCAGTCAATGCGGCAAGATATGCAGCGGTTATCTAAAATCAGGTTACCGGTCACGACCCAACTGGTCACTCCACTTTGTCTTCGCCGCACCTCTTGCTTTCCTTCCAGTTGCTGGCTGTAATATCATCACTCCGTCATAAGCTTGAAAACACATGAGCCTGGATCATAATCCCGGCAATCAGACAGAACTGATTTCATTATAGACGGGTAATAATTCAATTACTTATGGTTTACATAATTTTCATACTCTTATGCATAATATTAAATTTTATTTGTTTCTCCAACGCGCCCGCTTGTCGTGTATTCTGCTCCTTTTACGTCAAACCTGGCGGTGGGCCCATAGATGTATCTGATTGATTCAGTAATTCTTGATGAAAGGAAAGTCCAGAAATTAACGCGCGGAATCATTGTATATAAAGCACATCGTTAGCTTCACTTCACCACGGGCTACTGCTTAAATTGGTTCGTTATCACAACTCTCAGCTGTTGCCAATTTAGCACGAATATATACGAGTATCTAACAATTCGTGTATAACCATCAATTATAGATTCATGTTCCTTCGACCATTGAAGTTCAACATGCATTGTCCCCTGTGCAGGCACGACCAAGTATGTTTCAGTAAAATTGTTGCATCATTGATCAAGACAAGTATTAGTTAACACAGTTTTTTTTCAGTGGCTCAACGACCGCCTCTATTTCCGTCTGATAGGGCTATGTGTTGTGAGCTTTGGCTGGTTATTAGTAGTTCTGCTGTACAAGTTAGTCGTCGTCAAGTGCAGACTATAGACTATTACTATGGCTGCTGCTTTCGTGGCTGCTTTGTTCCGCTGCTGATCCAAGCGAACCTGAATATCGAAGCAAACACAAGCAGTTTCTAAAGAAGTAGGCGCGGGATGTAATTGAAGTTGATGTCTCTCAGTATCGCGACTTATCGAGAGGTAATAATTTTAGTTTCATCACAAATGCATTATGATGGAAGACTTCTCATTTGTTGCATGTGTAATTCCATTATAAGGTACGCAAGTGGGTGGCTAGTAATTAATATCGGCTTGAATGGATGCCTAAACAAAAGATTTGGTTATAATTATGGGAGGTGATTATGAACATTTTGCCTGCGGATGAGCCTTTATTATTATGCCTGTCAAGATGAGGCTTTTGATAAATCGTCTCCTGCAGAATTTATACGAATTGCATTTCTAAAAGAACATTATGTCCTTGGTCATGTGATCATCGAGAGCAGGGCCGGTAAGAGTTTAGCCTACGACGCCGAAGCACAGAGGACATTGTTATTTGCATTATGGCAATATAAGACTTACCAGTGTCTTGTCGTAATTGTTTGTTGAGATTGGTGCGAGTTAAAAATCCGAAACAAACAAGTTTAGGTTTGCACACTCTGAGCAGTTCGACATACTTGACAATCTGGCACGCGCAATTGTAACAATGTAATAATGAGCAGTTCGACATATTAGACGATCAGACACGCGCAATTGTATCATTTCAAACAATGCAGACAAGTAAACTGACGTTCTATCCGGAATGTTTCGGCAGCGAGATTCTGTGTGTAAAAGGTTTCCCGAAAAAGGATATTGGGAAGGCTGACATTCCATAAAGGATGGAAGAAAAGACTTGAATCATAAATGGCTTTGTAAACAAAGCCACAAACAAGACGTATGATTAATGGATTAGCAATTGTTTAATAATAAGGCAGATCCAAACCTCTTTTGGAGTTTTGCGTTTTATTAGGCATGCCTTGCGTTGAACTTTAACAGGCATCGCGAGATATTTGTAAAATCTATTTAATCTCATCATTTTCCTTGTCAGCGTGATCTTTAAATTTCACACACATTTATGATGATGTATACATCTTCAACTACCTTTACAATGGCTATGCTTGTCAAGTCAAAACTTTTTGTGAGGAGCTTGCCTTGCTTTTATACAGCGGGAAACCAAGGTTTTATCGAAAACATATGACTTGGTGATGTGATATCTCGGAGTTTTCCTTTGTTATTGGCAGGTTTCACCAAGTAAGCCTTGAACAGTATGAATTACCCATTGTTAGCCACGTACATTGATAACTAAAATGGAAGCCAAATCACCCGCGGCTGCATCACACACACGAAAATTTTTCTCAGTCGAGAAGAAAAAGCCTTTTAACAAACGGCTTTGTTTTGAACCAATTTTTACTATTTTTAAAAAACAAATATATTATTCCAAACATGGATGAATTCACCATTATTGAATTCACCATTAAATTTTGGAGCCGCGCGGGCTCCTGTTATTACAAGCTCCCCCTTAGCAACCACATTCCGTATCGGGCTCGAACGAGCGAAAAGGTTTCGGCGCGCAACTGTTTGGCAACCCAAGAACTCCACACAAAGACGTTCTCAAGGAGGAAGAGGCTAAAAGGAGTACTGAAATACGGGGGTGGAAATAAAGCGGGCTGTTGAATGTTGGCACAATTGCTCATCATGTATATAATATAATCTTTGTTTAATAAATATTTCGAATTATATGCTACAATTATTGAAAAAATGTTGTGAATATGTTTGTCATACTATTGCGAATATACGATTTAACTAAGTGTCTACGAGTTATGATAATAACTGCTGGGGGTTTTCAGAGAGCATGCTATTTACCGATAGACTACTCTAAGAGCACGCCAGTGTAATATAACATCTCTATAATAATAATAACATTCCATAACCAAAAAATTATTTTATTAAAACAATCCGTTTTACAGTCCATCTATTTACATCACATAGTACAGAATATGTGTTGGTCATTAATTAAGATGTAATTCGTTTTTTTTATCCTTCAACGTTTTCCTCGGCTTCTGGGAGAGACGCGCGTCCGTTGACTGTGTTCGGTAGGAATAAATCTAGAACGCATTTTATTGTTTAACTCGCCTCTTCTTTAGTCAGAGAACAGTAGACAATGCCTTTTTTGAAACTCCCTCGCGTCATGTGATCGTTTGCATATGTACAGCCCCCTCCCATAAATGACTGAGTAACACAAAATTTCGTAAATTATATGTCGAATTCGCACGCATGTAA